AAGGAATGGACATTAGACCAGTGGAAATCTGTGCTTTGGTCTGATGAGTCCAAATTTGAGATCTTTGGTTCCAACCGCCGTGTCTTTGTGAGACGCAGAAAAGGTGAACGGATGGATTCCACATGCCTGGTTCCCACTGTGAAGCATGGAGGAGGAGGTGTGATGGTGTGGGGGTGTTTTGCTGGTGACACTGTTGGGGATTTATTCAAAATTGAAGGCACACTGAACCAGCATGGCTACCACAGCATCCTGCAGCGACATGCCATCCCATCCGGTTTGCGTTTAGTTGGACGATCATTTATTTTTCAACAGGACAATGACCCCAAACACACCTCCAGGCTGTGTAAGGGCTATTTGACCAAGAAGGAGAGTGATGGAGTGCTGCGGCAGATGACCTGGCCTCCACAGTCACCGGACCTGAACCCAATCGAGATGGTTTGGGGTGAGCTGGACCGCAGAGTGAAGGCAAAGGGGCCAACAAGTGCTAAACACCTCTGGGAACTCCTTCAAGACTGTTGGAAAACCATTTCAGGTGACTACCTCTTGAAGCTCATGGAGAGAATGCCAAGAGTGTGCAAAGCAGTAATCAGAGCAAAGGGTGGCTATTTTGAAGAAACTAGAATATAAAACATGTTTTCAGTTATTTCACCTTTTTTTGTTAAGTACATAACTCCACATGTGTTCATTCATAGTTTTGATGCCTTCAGTGAGAATCTACAATGTAAATAGTCATGAAAATAAAGAAAACGCATTGAATGAGAAGGTGTGTCCAAACTTTTGGCCTGTACTGTATATATATATAATTAAAAAAAATAGTGCTTATTACCTGCTGTACAGAACAACCCAAAACTTTCTTTCTGCAAAAATCCCATTTAGTTTTAGTAGCTGAGCTGGACCTAAACATCATTTTACATACAATTTAAGACAGATTGGCTATGCACCAATGAATAAATTAATAACTTTTCCGAAAGAAATAAACAAATACATTCTCCAAATATTGATAAAGACTAAAACACTAAAAACATTTTGCTGTCTTTTTTCTTTCATTACTACCTTGCTATACTTTCACTTGCACAGCCATTTTTTCTTAAGCATTTTTCCATTGGCATATTTTCTTTGTTCCAGCAGGTGTTTCATCACAGGGTGGGCCTGATTTATAATGCACAAAAAAAGATGTGAAAAGAAGAGACTTTTGCATTGAATTGGGACATCAAAAAAGTGAGCCACACATCTTCACAAGACAGCACAGGAAGTAACATTTCTCAGAAAAGACATATTTCATGTTCTCCCTTGCTCATATCTCTTGATGTGACAAACCCAGGAATCTGAAGAGCACACATGGCTCCCAGAAAGAAAACCCAACTGCTGCAGCCCCTGAAAACCTGGCTTTAAATCTTAAGTATTTCTCTATAATATATATATTTTTTTTTATTGACAATGTGTCAAGGTAATACTTATTTCCCAGTAAATAAATTATCACAACTGTAGGGTAACAGGGAGGAAGATGCAGGTGTCGGTGATGTGAACAAACAAAATATTTTCTTGATTTTCAGTCCCTGCTGCTGCAACACATTCTCACTCCAACCTTGTCCCACATTGACATTTGGTCATGGACTTCTCACGTCAACATATGACGTGCAAGGTACCCTGGGTACATTGCTTGTCGATGTTCTGGGACGCCCCGTCAACTTCAGCCTGTTACATGCATTGTCTGCTTTCAAAAAACAGTTTGGTTTTTACAGTAAATGTACAGTTTGCATTCAGTCTCTTTCAAAATAAACACACTACATTGGAAAAATGCGCATTGTTGGATTTTTTTTTACCCTTCAACAACAAACGCACATTGTTACGCAACAATCAATCATCACTTTCAAAGCTCTCCATTAATCAAGAAGAACACCAGCCTCCCGGATGAACATCAGTGGTTGTTGGACACATATACCACCCCTCCCACCCATCCCACTCAGACTTTCACTTAACTTTCGCTGTTGTCCGGCCACATTTCCCCCTGACGCCGCTGGTCAACAAAAATAAAGACGACCATGTATCATGCCGACGTGAAAATACAGCTGTTTTGGTCAGTGTCTGAGGTTGGAAGTCTCTGCTCAAGCGCTGGTATTCGATGACATCGGAGTGAGACCCATTTTTTTGCCATTTACTTTACTCCTGGGTGAAAGTCCAGCTTTGTTGGACTCATCCATCACCCCTCCCGCCTGCCCTATAGGGACTTTTCAGCTCCTTATATTACGTTGTTACTGGCAGTGCTTCCTATTGATGCTGTCCAGTGCTATATGATACTGTTGCGACAGGTGCCATGCAGCCACATTATTAACTGATGCTGCCCGTCTGCATATCATACTGCCACAGCAACATATCACAACACTGCAAAAGGTTACGTCCTGTTGCCTTACAAACTGACGCCGACTGGCAGTGTATCATACCACCAGAAAAGGTGGCTTTTGGTGTCAGGTAGTGTTGTGTCGTTCAAGAACGAATTGTTCAAAAGAATGAATCTGAAACTGAATCACTTCCGGAACTGACTGATTCATTTCTCAGTTCAGTTGAGCTCAGCAGAGAGCGTGCAGGCCGGAGTGGAACTGCTGATTCGGTCTGTGCAAGCGATGAATCACTTGCGAGTCGTGAGGCAGCCAGGGTGCAGGGAGGGACTGGCTACTGTGTGATGAATCACTCGGTGAACAAATCACTCGGTGAACGATGCAGCCCTGATCCCTGAGTGATTCAAATCATTTCTTCTCAATGATATACTTTCATAGGGACCGTTTTCTCCAAGCTAACGGCTAATGTAGCCAGGAGTCAAGCCACATGAACACAATCACACACCTCCTCATTGTTTTAACAGACTTAAAACAGTACAGCTGGCCAGTAATGAGACTCACCAGTGCAGGGCAGACGCAGCAGCAGCTCAGCCGTGTATCAGTTCAGTGAGTCGGACTACACACTTAGGTCAAATGATAACTAGATCAAGATGTCCATGTTAAAACTGGCATAGTCACCCCTACACACACACAGTCACACACTGGTGGCTGAGGCTACCATGCATGGTGCCACCTGCTACTCAGTAACCATTCACAAGCATTCACACACCAATGGAAAAGCCACCAGGAGCAATTCGAGGTTCACTATCTGGCCCAATGATATTTCCACATGTAGACTGGAGGAGCCAGGGATTGAGCCGCCAATCTTCAGATTAGTGGACAACCTGCTCCTCTGAGCCACAGCTGCCTGCCATAATGTGGCTTAAATAGTTCTACATGACTCAGTGGCTCAAGGCATGATTTAGTTAGGCTTTACATCATCAACCGGACTGCTCTGCAAGACAGCGCTTTCAAGGTTACTTTGATATTTTTCAAACCATGACTATGTTTTCCCATCCTTTCATGTCTACATGACTGATGGAGATGACAGTGTTTGACTTGAGTGAGATCGCTGCAGCCAGCAGGAACAAAAAAAGGGCTGCAATGTCACCAGTCAGGTCAAACATCAATGTATCTCCACTAAAAGGGCTTGTTTTTGCTGACAGGCTCAGATTGTTATTACAAGTGTGTGACAACATTATGGAAGGATTCCCTACAGAGGTAGACCTTTTATTAAAGAGTTAAGATCCTTTTTGTTTAAGCAGAAATGACCCCGAAATCACTGTTGTCAAACCCCCCAGACTCCATTTTAATAAACAGCTATTTTATCATCGTGAAACACACATCACTTAAAGTTGACAGAAACAAAATGAAACTCACAAAAAACATTTTGCTTTGTCTTTCAACTTGTAAAAACAAACACTTTTGATGGACATACAGTGACAGTGCCAAATGCCCTGAGCGGCTACATTGCAGCCTGTGTTGCAGGTGGTGGCTTACTCAATACTGGACCAGTTTCAAACGTTGTTGTTCCCATTTGACACATAAAATAGGAAAATAGGGTCCAGGCTGAGAAATACAAGAGTTACCCTTTAAGTTAAGTGAAGCATTAAGTTAAGAGCAGAAGTGTTTATGCTGTGTCATGCCTCAATTTTATGCATAATGTACCAGCACCATAATAAAGTTATATCTTGGTTCAAGAGTATCCAAAATATTTTAGTTTTGCTGAGTTCAGCTAAAGGCTGCTGATAATCCTCCATGCCGAGTTCCTTCCTGAACCTCATAACTGATTTTCTGGTCACTGTTCTACAGTTTCAGCACTTTTTTTTAACAGTAGCTTCAACAAACTGTAGCATAAACTGCAGTGATTATGGGCTTTAATAGGAGCTGAAAATTGAGGTTCAGTGTAGTGATAGGTGATCAACTTCTTTTTACAGGTCCGGTTCTTTCAAATTGTTCCATGTAAATGTATCAGACCTCTCCAACCTTTTGAGTTTTCATACATTTTTACGGTGTCAATTTCTCAGGGTCTTGTTCATGAGTGAGGGTAGAATGGAGCATGAGATGGATCGGCGGTTTGGTGCGGCTTCTGTAGTGATGCGGGCGCTCTGCCAGGCTGTCGTGGTGAAGAAGGAGCTGAGCCAGAAGGCGAAGCTCTCAGTTTACTGGTCCATCTATGTCCCAACCCTCACCTATGGTCATGAGCTCTGGGTAGTGACCGAAAGAATGAGATTGCGGATACAAGTTACCGAAATGAGTTTCCTTAGTGGGGTGTCTGGGCTCAGCCATAGAGATAGGGTAAGGAGCTTGGACATCCGGAGCTTGGCATCCTGTTCACTCACAGGCAGTGTGAGTATTACTCTACAGTAACCACGAGTGGGAGGAGGGATTCAAGTGCACTTGGAAGTTGGACAGGCTGACCCAGTACATATCAGACACTTTGAAAGAGTCAGTCAGAAAGATCTGTTAGTTCATTTTTGACCATCACAAATTCAGCGTCTAGCTTAAAGACATTTTGACATGTGGACAGGACCCTGTGCACCAGAAACTTTGATGTCGTTCATCCCATTGTGTGTGTGTGTGTGTGTGTGTGTGTGTGTGTGTGTGTAGGTGTGCGTGCTTCACCTGTGGCGGTGATGTGTGTGTCTTCTGTGATCTGCTCCAGTCTGCCCAGCAAAGCTTCGATGTTGGCTTTAATCTGAGTCAACTCTGACTTGATCGCCTGAAGCTCTGCACCTTTCACTGCTGGTAGAGAGACACAGGCAGACGAAGAGCGGTGGAGACGGAGAAAAAAAAAAAAAAAACAGAGAGACATTAGCGTCTATTTTCTGATTAATAAGTCTGCGTAGAGCGATCCACACCATCACATTTTACAAGTTTATTTAAACATTATTACGTTTCTGAAGCGCTCTGATGATAGTACATGATCACGCTCAACATTCATAGCAGACAAAGGCTGAATCAACAGGCTTTAGAAAAAAAATGTTCGAATGATACTCCAGTGTGACTGATTGGTCCAGTGTGAGCCATAAAATGATTTGCCACCATGACACCAACACCAGCAACCACAACTTTAATAACAGGCAGGAATTCATAAGCCCCGTTTCCACCAAGTGGTTCAGTTAGATACACTTTTTTTTGTTTCCACTGTGAAAAGTTGTGGATGAACAGTTCCGTACCGTCCCCATGTTTGGGCCCCCCTCTGTTGGGGTACCTAGCACACAGATCTGGTACTAAAAGGTGGAGCTGTGAACACTACAGTCTGATTGGTCAATAGAGGACGGTCACTCTGCTCAGGGCTGAGTTGTGTCTGGTTTTGAGGCTCATGTAACCACTGTTCATACTGTGGAGAGTTTTATTAGTAAATTGTAACTATAAAATGAAAGGATGTTTTGCTGCCTCTCACAGCAGCTGGAGTCTGAGAAAATAAATTCGCTGGGCCGACTGCTGGTGACTTTTCAAGGTTGAACATTTACTTGTAATGTTACTCAATGCATGAGTTGACGACGTGAATTCATCAACACACCTTGAATTTCAATGTGACAACATACACTTTAAGTAATGAGTGGATCTTCAAGTAGTTAAATTTTTTTTTTTAATTTCGATTGGGCTACATGAACTACATATATTCTAGTCCTCACTCGGAGAAAAAAAAGAAAAAAAGAAAAGCATTGCAGCATTGTTCCTGTGAGCTACGGCAACACTAAACCCCTGAGCTTGCCTGAGAAGAACTGAATGCACAAAGCCGATATGTTTAAATATCCCATGGAGAGAGACTCTCACTGCAGCCTGTTCTATTTTGTTCTGAAAATATCAGCGTGCAGCCTCGTTCTGTGGACGATAAACCAGGTGCAGATCTATAGAGGAGGAAATACAGTGAGTGCTGGACGGAGCAGTGAGTGACAACATCCTCGCTGACATTTAAGAGGACTGTTTGCAGTGGAAACGCTTAACAGACCTAGGGTCTAGGTACCATGTCTGAAGCTTTACTTTTGGTTCCAAAGGTACCACACTGAATTGGTGGAAACGGGGCTATAGACCGACTCTCACAAGATGGAAAAGGTTCATCTTCAAGGCAGTTTTATGGAAATCTGCCAAATACACTTTGATTAGTGTGTTCAAGTGGAAAACTCCACGTGGCAGCAACACCAGAAGAAAGGTCAGGGAACCATGAATATTTATGCAATTTTACCATTTCATGCCAGTCTGGCCAACACATACTGAGACATTCTGCTGTGGGTCAAAGTGATGGATTGTACTGTTTTGAACTGTTAATGTGAGACAACTTATTATTGTTTAAATAACTGTAGCTTTGTTGAATTTCTTTAGAATTTATACTTTATTTTGATCAAAATTATGGCAGCTTATTTGTGTTTTAGACATAGGGCTAAAATTTCAAATACAATCTGAGATACACTGAAAACAAAAAAGTGCCCCAGTGCCTTACTGACCCATATGACCATTATGTAAACGATTCATATGAACGTTTTCTGATCGTCCACCATTATGATTAAGGCCTGGTGAAGTTAAGTCAACTAAAAGTACCTGGTTCATTTTAGGGAAAGCTCCTCCTTTAGATGACTTTTTGTGGTGCTATATACAAAGCTTTGTTACTTCTGTATTTGATCCTGATAGAAGACATTATTTACACTACTACAATTTGAACAAACAACCAATGCTGTCATTTTCCCAGTGAAGAGATAAATGGAAAAAAGAGAAACAGGAGGAAAACAAATAAAAAGGGTAAGTTTTGAGCTCAACTTCCTCAAAGGTACCTTGACAGCAGATGAGTGAGTGGAAGTGCCTCTGTATATGGGGCGCTGGCACTATCCACTATGCTACCGACGCCCCGGAAGTCCAGATTTTTAAAAAACATCAATCATTCTGCTTTAAACTTGCTTTCTCTATCCTCAGAGCTATCACTGCTCATTTTAACAGCAGAGATCCCTCTGCTGAGTTGTCCTTGACACCAAATCCGTGCCACTTCCCAAGTTTCTGCTTTTCAGCAGCAGCTCTGACCTTTTACCTCTGAACACTTACCCTAGATGGGGCAACACGGAATAACGTGCCATTCCTGCTGAGGGGAACTGATTATAATTGAAGATAAATTATTCTCTTTAAATTCAGTAATCACGATAAAGGGGAAACAATTCTCGAAGAAATTGTAGTGTGAATGCTGAATACTGGAAAAGCTGAGACTAAACTAGATAGCTGGCTTTAAAGTTAAATATTACCCATGATGTATGGAAGATGTGGAATATTTTAAGGTTTATTGAGAGGCTGACACTAAACTGAATTGCTGGCTTTAAAAGTTGAGTAATGGCCACAATGTATGGAAAGTGTTAAATATTTTAAGGTTTGATGGTAAATCTAATCCAAACTGCTGGCTTTTAAAGTTAAGGAAAACTCATAATGTCTGAAAAATGTTAAATATTTTAAGGTTTAAAAACTGACACTAAACTGAATTGCTGGCTTTAAAACTTAAGGAAAACTCATAATGTATGAAAAATGCTGAATATTTTAGGTTTTGATGAAAAACTGACACTAAACTGAATTGCTGGCTTTAAAACTTAAGGAAAACTCATAATGTATGAAAAATGCTGAATATTTTAGGTTTTGATGAAAAACTGACACTAAACTGAATTGCTGGCTTTTCACATTGAATAATAATGTAAGAAAAATGTTTAATATTTTAAGGTTTGATGAAAAGCTGACACTAATCTGAATTGATGGCCATAAACGTTGAATACCCACAATATATGAAAAATGTTGAATACTTTATGGTCTGATTAAAAACTGACACTACACTGCAAGGCTGACTTTTAAAGTTAAGGAAAACTCATAATCTATGAACAATGTTGAAAGAGCGGGCCCTCCAACAACATGTTGGGCAGAGAATGGGCTCTAATGAGTGACTGCCACCCACCTTAAAGATATGCCTATGTTCAAAGATTATATGCCCCTGAAAAAGCCATCTCTGCCATGTTTTTTTGTAAATGAGTCAGTAGCATCGAGAACAAAATCATTAGCTTATTCTGCATAAACTATAAAAGGATTAAAATAAAAAAATGAATTCTCATTTTCTTTGGTATTTTTTTTGTCACTTACAGATGCAATAATAAATGCCTAGGTAATATATAAATTGATATTGTCCAATGTTGAGTCTCTTTTTGATCATGTGACAAGATGATATGTGCACAACATGGTGCACTAGGTCCCATTGTAACTACCTTAGGCCACTGGTCTTCAACTGGTTGAGTTAATTGCATTTCCACATGTTATGGAACTGATTAGTGAACGTGTTAGTTTAGTCCAAATGTATAAAACTGTCATTGCTGTAGGTTAAGACTTTTAGCATGTGTATGTAATAAATCACATTGAAATGCTACCTGCTCTGAGCCTCAGGTTTAAATTTGATACGGATCTGATCTATTTCGGCGTAATAGTTGAGTGACAAAATAAATACAGTATGCTGCTGAGAAACTTGGCTGCCAAGAGCAGATCTAAAATGATACCTCAGGGACACCAGGTGAGCAAATATGGCTCTGTTGACTTGTCAATGTCAACACCACGTGGCAAAGGTGAATAGTTTGATCTGTTGATTTGCACAGTGTAACAGAAATGGAAACTTTGCCATTCATTTTATATAACTTACACAAAAAAACACTGAGCTGCCAACATCAAGAAACACACCTGAAACAGCTGCTTTCACCACCAGCCTTGACACTACATTGCATGGATGACACCAGAGTCCAGCATAGCTAAAGGTTGGCCGAAAGGTATCATTTTTTATTTTTTCAATATTAAAGTTACATTCAGACAATTTATAAAAAAATAAAAAAATAAAAAAAACCTACTTGCACTGTTAGTGTGAGTGCGAGTCAGCCCAGAGATTGGTAATGGCTGACTCAAAATCAGAGGAAAACAAACCAAACCAAAACAAAACCCTCTAACAAGGATTTGATTATTTCATTTTCCAACTACAGATTTTATGATGTTGCCCACAGGGTCAGTGGCTGAAGGACATGAGCACAACCAGCTTCCCATCAGCAGAGTGGAAAGAAGTACAAACTGTCAGCTATTTATTTTGAGCTTCCTAAAAAAACATGAGTGGTGAAGAAAAAGTGTGTGTGCTGTTTGGATATTGCTTTTCAAAACCATTCCAAATGCAAGTTTGATGAGTACACAGAAAGACACTCAAACCAGTGACACGAAAAGTGCTTTGTGAGCTCGGCACAGAGTGGAATTCAATGAAACTCAGCAGAAATAAAAAAAACTGCTGTTTGGAAAAAAAAAAAAAAACAGTTCAGGTCAAAGGCAAATATGAAAGATGCTGAGATCCACAATATGAACATAATGTGAAATGAATGTTTAATGAGCAGGATGCAAAAATAAAGAGACAGCAGTCGCCCTGATGCCTGAACTTTCCACTGACATGTAAAACACAGACTTGAAAGATAGATGAAGGGGAAGTTTGGGTTGGGTTTGGTAGTCAGGAAGTCGGGAAGATATAAGAGAAGAAATAATAAACAGGAAGGGAAAAAAGACAGACAGAAAGCAAAATACAGAGTTTGATGACATGGTGGTTAATAGCAGAATATTGGACATCCACCAATAATATGATCATACTGCTGTACTTAGAGTCAAAGCAAAAATAAATATGTGTATTGAGTTTGTCACACCACAGAAAAATGTGTTATTAAACACCCAGCCATATTTGAATGATTATAAAGGTTTAAAAAAAATTACGTTTCAAAATCTGCTCGAAGATTCTGTGGGCGTGTCCGCTGAATGTGCTGAAGCCACGCCCACTTGCGGGGAAGCTGCAGCCTCTTTTAATTGTAGCACTATGATGGATGCTCCATCTATGCTAAATTTCAACAAGGTTAAAAGGGATACATTTTTTAAAATGGTGTATTCCAATATTTCTGCATACTGGGGTCTCTAAACAGTCTTGGAATTACATAAAGGGTACGACTGAAAAACTGAGAGTTGACAGCTATATACGCTTTTATACTATTTCAGTTTTCCATACAATTTGACCAATATTTAAGTAAAGTGGCCTCAAGATTGAATGAACAAATGAAGAAAAAAATAGTTGTCCACTCATGGTTTGCTGATTTCATGATTTCATAAATCAATAGTTGATTTTACTTTTCTCTACTCATTCAATGGGGGGCATTTTTTCAGCCCAGGACACTGTGACTACCTCTGCTTCTCATATGGTCTTAACACAGAGTAGCTATAATTACATTTGGAAATTACTTGGATTATCACCATGATGCCCTGTGGTTAAGGTCTGGTTAAGTTTAGGCACAAAAACCACTTGGTTAGGGTCAGGAAAAGATCATGGTGTGGGTTTAAATGAAAAAGAAAGTGACAAACACATAAGCCGTGAGCCTGCTTCGCCTCAAGCCTTTCCCAGCTGACCCAGAACCGGACGCGGCGCACCGAACGCCCGCCGCAAGCCGTTCAGCACCGCGGACAGTCGGACTAATGGGATGTCGAACCAATGACATGGACCCAACACTGCTGCCAATGGCCATGTGTGAACCTGTCCTAAAACCACCCTAAATGTTCGTTTTCAAAGCCATGAAACTCACCGAGTGGTCAGTGGTGTTTGTTGATGTTCTGACATAAAAATCGTAGCAAACTGTGGTTTCCAGGATGATTTATTTGACATTTTGTGTAATGCATTGGTTTTCTATCGAAGCCTCATTTTCCATTGGTAGTGATCCTCCACTGGAAACGGAAAGGGGGTTGTTTACGACAAGGTTGTAGTCATTGTAGTCTTTTAGCTCATCGAAAGTGCTGGCTCGACAGTGCTGTGTGTCTGTAATGAGAATGAACGAAAAAGTTTTGTAATAAGTTTAAACAACTGCACAATGGATTACTCGCTTGTAAACAACCTTCGCAGTATGATGCCTTTGAACACAACACCAGCCTTCTTCTTCTGCTTCTTTCCTGTGTCCCATTACATTGCAATGGTTTCCTGCCAGTTGGCGACACCCACGTAAAGGAGCATTATCGCCATCAAGTGGACTGGAGTGTATAACGCTTCAGTGTCAAACGAACGATCAAGCGGAAGTTTACACACGGGTGTGAGGCAGCTGAAAAAATAGTTCTAAAATCGAGATGAAAACTGAAAACACAGATAGAAACCACAGTTTGCTACAATTTTTATGTCAGAATATCAACGAACACCAGATTCACACATGGCCATAGGCAGCAGTGTTAAGCCAGGCAGGGGAAAGTCAAATTCTCCGAAAAGGAGCAATTTTGGTCTTAGCCACTCTATTTCATCATAAACAACTCAGAAATGGGGCTCAAAGTGCAAAATTTGTCCTTTAAGGACACTCATTTTGTTTAAAATGGAGTGTTTATTTACTCAGATTTCTCCAGTATTATATATTATCTGTTGGAGACAATGATGCTTTAAAGATTTGATTTCAGAGTTGTTCTAGACAGACAGACAGACAGACAGACAGACAAACTTACCCTTCTGTTTGTTGCCGTTGCTGGTGGGGAGGACGGAGGCGTTACGTGCCAGCAGTTTGACTGGCAAGGATTTGACCCGTCGTACCAGAGGCACCGCTACCCGTGGGCGTTTAACAGGCACCACTCGAGGGACCGGTGACACCCTGCCATGGTACTCAAACAACCTGAAGAGAAAGAGAGAATAGAGGGGAGGAAAGACAGAGAGGAGCGAGAGAAACAGAGGGAACAGAGAAAGAAAAAGAGGACGGGTTGACAAGGTGAAAGGTGAGGAGAGGGGTCAGATGATGAAGAGAGGGTGTTTGGGAAAATGAGAAATGCAGGTAGTGAGGAAAGGTATTGATATTAAAGAGAAGAAAAAGAGGACGGAGAAGAGGCAAAATTAAAATCATCCTTTTATACTCCAAGTCGAAGAAAGAAATGACATTTATATACAACTAATCTAACTACTGTCTGAGCTTTTTCAGTACACTCTGTGTACTAATGTGGTGTTTTGGCAGATAGTATATAGACACTGATCTACATTACATGGTTTTGATCCTACAGGAAATGTGCAGTGTGCAACAACACAAATCAATCAAACATCGGAAAGCTTATTCCAGTTTCATACTTGAAAACTTCACAAGTGAAATGAAATGTTTTTCAAAGGATTTATTAGTTAAGTATTGCGTTTTCTGAGCTTTTGCACAACAATCCAACATTTGATTTTAATTTTTTTTTTTTTTTGCAGTTTCAAGTAGCTCCCTGATATCCACTGTGTTTTCCATTGTGATATGTCAGCCCGCTCTTATTCCCAAGTCATCAATTACCGCTGCTTTGTCAGTGATTTCGGCGTCAGACATTGGCGCTAAAAGTTGTCTTTGAAGGTGGGATGATGTGCCACTGGGCAGTGTCAGTTTGTAAAGCAGTTGGACGGCACCTATCGTGGTGGTATGATATGCCAAAGGCGTATTAGTTTATTAAAACGTTTTCAGAGCTTTTGCACAACAATCCAACATTTGATTTTACTTCTTTTTTTTTTTTTTTTTGCTTTTTTTTTTTGCAGTTTTTTTCCATTGTTTCCAACCGTGTTTGACGCCAAAATCACCTTTGACGGTTGGATGATAAGCCACTGGGCAGTGTCACTTTGTAATGCAGCCGAATGGAACCTTTCACATTGTTATGATATGCCACCAGTTAGCTGGACGGCACCTGTTACAGTGGTATGATACGCCACACGAAACCATCAGTTTGAAATGCTGCTGGGACTGATAATATAAGGAGTTGGAAAATCCCTATAAGGTGGGCAGTAGGGGTAGTGGATGGGTCCGACAAAGCCAGGCCTTCACCCTGGAGCCCGGTGTTTGCTTCTCGTGTAAATGTACATGATGTTTCTTTCTAAACCTCACCACATGCTTTTGTTGACATCCTGCCGTTGGTTGCGATGTCCCGGAACATCAACTGTAGATGCATGTGGATACCTAACACATAACTAGCAGCGGTATGCGACGATTTAGCATGAGAGCATGTTGTGTACATTGTGTGCCTCCTTCAATATCCCACAGAAATGCTCTTTAATTTTGGTCGGCATGGTGGCATTTTAATGTGGTGGCATATTTTTTTGTTACCTGTACAGTGAATGGATACAGCTGAGGTGTGTCTCATTTTTGGTGAAAACCTGGACATGATGGCCGACAATGTAGAGGATCAGATTTCCTTTTTTTCCCATTGTTTGATAAGAGCTCCCTCCTGCTCGTTACTTTTTTCCAGGTCACAAGTCAAGATGTCGGGTTGTTTGACCTGACTGTTGCTCACGACTGCATTTATATTCTAACACCACCCACACAGTTTCGGCTTTGGACAGGTACCACAGTTTTATGCCCAATATTAAAGTTATCTGGCTCGAAGAGAATCTGAAAATACTGAAGAAAAAAGACAATCTGTCTTCATTTTGAGTATCTCTCTTAGCAGTATTTGGCGGAAGTACCGTGTTCACATCGTGACTCTGGAAAAAATACAGCACACTGAGAAATGAAGTGCTTGTTAAGTTAAACAGTGAAGACATGCAAATATAGATTTCTCATAAAAAAAATAGAATCTTTTGGGAAAGACGGTAAAATTATAAACGGGAAACCACAAGACTGCTCTGTGATGTTGTCTTTATGAAGATAAATAGTTGTGTAAAGATCAAAAAGCAAATTATGTGGAAATTCATGTTTTTATGTGGTGTGGTGGAATAAAATGGTGGATTTAAAACTATAGTTCACTTTCTTCTGCAGGAAGTTTAATGCTTGGAATTAGTGTTAAGTTGACCTTTACATGTAAATATTAGAGGCTTAGCGATTTTAAATGCAATGTTTCTTCATATTTCACTGTGACAGGTTTTTTTTTATTTATTTCATGAAAAGCTCCAAATTGCTGTTTAGTGGCTAAAATGTCTGGATAATCTTGAGAAAGGAAGCCACAGAAAAATGTTGTTGGTGTCCCAATATGTGAGCCTGATTTCCTTGTGGTAAACCCTAACAATCTGGTGATGGGTTCAACATCGAATTTTCTTGGACTCATTAATGTTAAATTATGAAAGATATGTTGACAGAACAGTGCAGACACTTTACATTATAATCTTATTGAAATCCCTTGCAATAACTGCTAAATACTTGTAATTATCAATTGTGATGCTGTGGTCATTTTACAAGGCTGTTTTACTAAAGTAGAATTTCTGTAATATTGTGACAACAGGAACTGGATTATGAAACATTGGCATGGATTTGACGTTTGTTATTTTCATGTTTATTGGGTGCAAAAGTTAGCAGCAGCTAAATTTCAGTTAAAACTAAATAGTTTTGGTTAGGTTATGGTAGGCTGCAAATATAAACCAAGCTTTATGATGCATTTTGCTTTTACATCATCCATTTTCTGTGTCATATCTGTTTATCTTAAACCGATCATGAGTAAACATGAATGACCCACACAAATAAATGACATCAGCTAAATCTGAGAGATGAGATGGCAGATTGTGACCAACAAGTCCTCTGAATTAATCAACAAAATCCCCCTGGAACAACACATAAGTGTTTTCTGATCTGACACTGTGGTTAAAATGTGTTTAGGGTTAGGCACAAACCCAACTTGTGTGTGTGTGTGAGGGAAAGAGCATGGTTTGGATTTAAATAACTGCTTGGTTAAAGTGAGGATGGTTAAGGATAATTGACAATGTGTTCTTATACAGTAGCTTCCATTGGTATCACTGGCACCTCTCATGCCTGGTTTAAATCCCATCTCCCTGGCCCCACTCACTCTGTCGAGTTTAGAAATGTCAGATCAAGCTGTTGTCCAGTTAATAGTTCTGTTCCTCAAGGTTCTGTCTTAGGCCCCCTTTCACCTAATATTTATCTTCTACCTCCTAGCTATATTTATAGAAAACTGGCATTCAGTTCCAATGCTATGCAGATAACACCCAGCTCTATTGATCTGCTACATCTACTTCCACTCTCCCACACACTTCCCTTTCCGACTGCTTATTGGATATTAAATCTTTGCTCTACAACTTCCTCAAACTTAATTGCGATAAAACTGAGGTTCCTCCTTAGTTTCTTTTCTCTCTAACTACTGACAACTCCAAAGCCATTCCTTCCCCCCAGGTTAAGAGTCTGGGTGTCATTCTGGACAGTACATTGTCCTTTGAGGCCCACATCAATAATGTTACTCGGTCTCCAGACTCTCATCTATGCAATATAATCATCTTCACCCGTTGCTTACACCAAACAGCACCGCTATTCTCACTCATTCTTTGGTTACATCCTCTATTGATAATTGCGATTCTGTCCTCTTTGGTCTCCCTGTCATAAACTCCAAGTGGTCCAGCATGCAGCCACTCGTATCATTACCTGAATTCCCTCCATAGATCATATCACTCCTGTTCTTCAGCAGCATCACTCAAGATTTTGCCTCTCAACATTAAGACCCTTCATAACCAAGCCCCTCTGTATCTTTCTAAACTCCTTCATGTCTACACACTCTCTCATACTCTCAGATCCTCTTCTGCAGCTCATGACAGCATCTGCCTGCTAGACTACCATGGCTTCTAGAGCCTTCAGCCATTCTGCCCCTGGCTTTGGATCTCTCTCCTGCAAGATATTTGCAATACTGACTCCCTTTGCACCTTCAAATCCCATCTGAAAACCCACCTTTTAAAGTTGGCATATTCAGTCTGATGTAATGGTGACACACACATTGAGATTTGTACTGATGATGACTTTATGATGATGACTTTATACCTATTTTTATGATTTCTGAGCATCTTATTAACGTATTACTGTATATTACTGATTTGTTTGACTGAGTAAATTCAAACAGTGAATCTTCAACTGGATAATTTAATTCAAATCAGATAACACAATGACTCAGTATGTGGAACCTTGTTTTGCTGGCACAAAAGGACTTGCTCTGAATCCCTGTTTTTTGGTCATAAAAAGCTTAAACAAAGACTTCATTCATTTCCAATAAAGCCTGTCATGAGTTGTAAATTCAGCTCAGGTCATGAATGTTGAAGACATTTTGTGAGATCAACGATTCTGACAACACTGAACTCCCTTTGGCTTTACTACATCAGACTGTATGAGACATGGATGTTCCATTGCAGCTCGTGTTCTAAGCCTTTTGGACAAGCAGCAACTTTTTTCGATCAACACGGAAAATTTGTCCAGATGGCAATGTGCTTTGTTTCCTGACTTTAACAAACATCTCCACTGGGATAAAAAGATGTAATGATAAATTATATTGTGCATCATGACAATTTGTTTTCACCATGTAGGCAAAACTGTTTTGCCATGCGAAGAAAATAATCAAAGCAGACAAAAAGGTCTGTGTTGCCCAGATTTACTGTGTACTGTCATATTTCAGGAGATTAATAAACTCTGATTTCTGCTCAGATGATATCCAGTAAGGCTGGTTTTGATGTACTGAAAAAAAAAGGAAGAAGAAGAAGAAAGACTCAATGAAACAAGCAGAGGGGTTGGCAGACACTGAAGGAAAAAAGGGGGAGAAAACAAAAAAGACAGCAAGAAATAAGGAAGGAAAGAAAGAAAAATGCAACTTTAAAGCTCTATAGCCCTCAAGGAAACGCAAATTAACCTTATACTGTTGCTCTCTACAGCATTACTCATACCATTATGCAGTATCAACATTA